CAAGGCTTGCCTGGACTATGGAGTGAGTCAAGGGCCAGCCTAGGCATATTTGTGATAACCTGTCTCCAAACAAAAAATGCAAACAAAGTTGAGAAAAAGCCCCAGCGCTGTAGGCCTTACCCAGTCTTTACCAGGCCCTAGGCTCAGTTCTCACAAATAAAAGGTAGACACACATAAAAACAATAAAAGGAAAAAAAGGAGATTGTTAAGCTCTGTTTCACTTGCTCCAATACTGGTTTCTCTGTCTTCCCACTCTGTGTAGGTCGTTGTGTGTTGACTGATGGTAGGTTGGCCGGGGCTGTGTTGTCAACAACAAGCCTCCACTTACCTCACTTGCTTCTCTTCGTGTACTGAAACCCCTTGCGGACCCCAATGAACTCTGTGGCCTGTGGGCCCGGGCAGGTTCCTATCACTTCAGAGACACCTGCTCCTCCAGTCTCACACCAGGGACAGCCATGGTCCATGCAGAGAGGTGTGCATGAGAACACAGAAAAGTGGGAGCAGCGGAGAGCCGAGCTTATTCTGGAGGAGAGGTGCAGAACTGAAGGAACAGTGTGTCTCCCGGGCTCGGCTTTCTCCCACGCTGCACAACAGGAAACTACCAAGTGGGCTTCATAGGGTTCACTAAGGAAGCTAAGATGTGGGGTAAATTAGAGTAACTGCTCCCCTGCAGATAAAAATACAACCGCTAAGTCCACCTCGCCCTCTAGTGGTGAAACGAATACCCTGTTATTCCTGAGACTTCCCTCTTAAAATGTTTGGTAATCCAAGGCCAAGTGGTCAGCCTTGATATCATACACATCCCAGCAACGTTATATGTGCCAAACAGGTTATATATATAAATATGTTTATGAACATATATTTATAAATATGTATCTATTTATAATATATTCTAATATATATTAGAGATTGTGTGTGTGTAAAACACAGAAATAGAGGCCATCAATTTGAGAGAGAACAAGGGAGGGCTACCGAGGAAAGGATCGAGGGCGAAAAAGGAAAGAGGAAATCAGTCTAATTATATTTTAATTTCAAAAATTAAAAAATCAAAAAAGTTATGGGAAGGGAGAATGCTATTTTAAGTAACTATTTTTGCAATAATAATATTACTTACATTTCCATATCTACCCACTTATGGAATTAGCATTATTATAGTTATTTTGTTTCTAGAAGCAAATTTCTGTTAGACTTTCAGTAATTCTGATTTACCCACAAATTATTTTCCTTTTTAATGGCATACATTTCTAGACCTGTCTGTGATTTGAAATATGTGGTCACTGAGACATTAAATTTTATCTACAAAAGTTCTTAATACATGAAGAAACGAATTGTGCCGCAGTAGATGTAAAAATAAAATAGTTGGTTGTGAAGCAAATTAAACATACAGCATCATCAAGGTTAAAGTTTACACAAAGTAGACAATTTGCACCTCAGGAACTATTTAGCAGTGTCTGGAGACATACTTGTTACAGTGACTTGGAGTGTGTGAGTGCTACTGGCATCTAGTAGGTAGAGTCCAGACAAGGTTAGCAATACCCTGGACAGGGAATGTGTGTGGGAGGGGAACTTGGAGGAGTGGATGGGGAGAAAGCTGTAGTAGGGATGTATCCACTGAGAGAAGAAACATAAATTTAAAAATATATATGTGTAGATCTTGCTTGGATTCTCTTTTAAACAGCTCCACACTTGTGAGATGCTGAGGCATTTGAGCTGATTGGATATGTAACTTTAAGGACGTTTTTGACATGATAATGGTATCATTATGTGGATAAGAGAAGTTATCATTTCAAAGTTGATCCTGCGGGAGGAGGGAAGTGGCCGAAGCCACAGGTGGAACAGGAATGACAGAGAAAGTGGAAATAACAAAGAATACAGATAAGTTCATCAAACTATACTAATACTAAATAGATTTAATCTTCTATACCCTTAAGGGGAAAATGAGGTTCAAAGCTGACTCCAAAGACGCATTCCAGTGTAGCTGGAAACACTTCATTTGCTTGACTTTTGTTGATTCAGAGAAGTGAGAATGGTGTCTGTGAACTTGGCACTGTTGAGCTTTATATGATGAGATGTTATCCAGGGGATGGGCAAAGGAATCCCATGTGAGTAGCCTCCCCCCAACACTGGGGATATGCCCACACTTCAGAGTAGCAATGGAGAGAGTGTAAGTGAGATGCTGTGGAAGCAAATACAGTGACCTTTACCTCAGTTCGGAGAACAAGATCCACACTGCCCTCATCTGTTAGACATGGGCTAAAATAAGGCAGTCAGGGTTGGAAATGCCAGAAACTTAAGAATGCAATAGTTATGCTTTCTCAGGATGGTATAGAGAACATGTTTGGTTCTTAACTGATGGAACCACCACAAGTATTTATCACTAATTATTCACTGAAATTTTAAAGGCTCTTAAGTGATCCCCTCTTAAAAATATCTCTCCTGATAAGAATGAAGGAGAAATGGACAATACATAAGAAATCCTTAAGAGTCCTAGCAAAAGGCATGGGGCAGGAAAACACAACGAAAAGGAACATTTTTGTGAAGGCTCTCTGTCTTTTACTCATTACCCAGGCAACAAACAAACCTTACTTAATATATCTCATCTATTTGACCATACTCTGGACAAAAAGTAGAAATCAAAAGCATTAGTTACATAGAACCTGAAGCCACATTGAAAATGGGAGTGTGATAATAAAACTCATATGTTAGGGATGTTTTGGGTGTTTTCCAAATTTGGAGCTTTTTTATTTTTTACCAACCTGTGGCAGATGTCTATTTTGGTTCATATGCTACAAGGAATGTCTCTACATCTTCTTGTAGTTACCAGGACATTGCCAGGGACTTTTAAAATAGTTTTGCTGGGTGGTGACTGTTTTGTGGTTGAGGTCTTGAGTAATGAAGGGCACACTGTGCATCTCCGAGATTCCTGAGTTTGCATCCGAATTGTTTCTGGATTCCTCAACCGTACTCAGTACAGTAGGATTTCTCATGAGTCTCACAGAGAGGAGTACATGATATTTTTCAGCATGTGGACACAGCAGTGGTCATGAATGGTGGTTGGGAGCAGTTTTATCATGATAAGACACATGAGAAAAGTCGTCATTCAGTTTCAGGATTCTGAATGAACCATGGCTCCCCGGAATCTAAACTGAGTTTAGAAAAGAAGTTTGCAAAATTTCACCCTGTCCCAGAAATGTACTTTCTTAGGTGTTTCTAATCCAAGCTCCCAAATGAAATGTTGTATTTCTTTAAATAAATTAAAAAAACAAAATGACAAATGAGAACTTTGTTGATGCCAATATATTTCTAAAGTCAAAATTACAGTGATAAGTTTTCTTTTTAAACACTGGGAAACTATGTGAAAGAAGAAAGGATTTTGGAATACACGTAACTAATTCTTTTGATCTTTTGCCATCATGGAAACGATCTCATTGTAAACCTCTTGAGGAGCATTCATGGCCCTGAGAAAGTCCAGATGCTTGTAACGGGGAACCTCCTTATGGTAAATGAGGTTTTGGAGTTTGGGAAGCAGCATGCTAACATCTCGGGGATCAGCCGTGATGTCTTGGCCACCATTCCACACTGCAATTGGCACAGTCATAGCTGACACGTCATAATCAGGAGGTGTGCTCTAAAACATGACAGGTAAAAGACATGGAGTTTAGGCAACCATAATTAAGAAACAGTATGAATTGTGTATTAGTTCCAAATAAAATCTAATGATCTATTCAAGGAAATCACCTTTACCCACAGAGCAAAACAAACATCATAGTTTGGACAAATGCTTCTCAACTTCTAATAGGTCTGTCAATCTGCTAGGACTGTTGTTTAAATGAAGACTGACTCAGCACATCTGGGAGCAAAGTCAGAGATCTCACACTCAGGGGATGTTGATGCTGTTGGTTCTAAACTAAGAACTAAATGGTTGGTCTGTTTATGAGAATTCATACCAATTAAAAACCTAGATTTTAGTTCAGCTGAAGAAAGAGGATTTAACTAGATTCTTGGGTTTGTGTGTGTGATGGGTACATGCAAACCACTGTGCACATGTGCAAGTTAGAGTACAGCCTTCATATTGGTCCTTGGCATCCATCAGACAGGGTCTCTCCCATCCACTGATGCATATGCCAAGCCAGCTGGCCAACAAGCTTTTGGTAATTCTCCTGTTTCTGCCTCCCTCCTAATAGGGAAACACTGAGTTATTATAGACTAGGCTTACATAGAAAACACTGCACATTGATCTAATCACATCAGCAAGGATTTGACTAGATTATGACTTTGGCAGATTGCCTCCACCACTCTGAAACATGATCTCAAACAGTCCTGGATCCTGAGTCATTTGTTTTGACTTTGTATTGCCTTCTACAGTATACATTATATTGGCATATTTTTATATGCTATCTGACCTCATTAGAAGCTGCTCTCCTTGGCAATCTGTCAATTAGGAACCTCAGCATGACTCTTTCAGTAGTAGAGCTTCCCTCAGTCATTTCTGCTAGATGTTGTAAGTGCCTGAATTAATGATGGTTTTCTGCTGCTCCCTACTCATTCTTTCACTCCTCAGCCTCATCTGAGGGGATGCTTTACTCTCCTAAGGACTCTTGATACAGAGCTCCATCTGGTACTTTAACAGGATGTCTCCCACTATTTCCTGCTGGTTGTTTCTTAACTGCAATTTAATGGTGTTATATTTTGTTTGGCTTCTCAATCAGCCTGATCCAGGGGTATCTGCTGGATGTTTTTAGTATCTTATTTAATGATGTTTTTCTATTGCTCTGTTGATTCTTTTTATGTGCATCTCACTATCTGCTTGTAATATAGTTAATATACTCACTTTCTCAAAGCTGAAGGCATGGTTATTATAAACCACTCTTTGGCCTGTACAAAAGAACTGCCTGTATCATGGCGTGAACAGTGGTTCAGTAATAAGCTGTATCTTCTGCACACTCATATAATTTTACTAAATATTGCTTCAATTCCTGAGAAAAAGCATTATTGACCTGGCTTTTTATTTCTAGAAAACCACTATTAACACAATGAGTTTATAAAGATTTACAAAACAAAAAGTAGTACAAGATAGGCATTTCCACGATTCCCATATCCACACACACTCTACTTAGGTACTTTTGTTTTTTAGATATTATTTCAGGATATAAATCCAATATCCCCAAAGTTTGTGTCTTCACACTTTGTGAACAAACCAACTTACATGTGCAAAACATTTATTACATTATTGTTACAGTAATTTATGCCTTTTCTTACATTCCCTCACATGTTGGCTAAAATGTGGAGAATATCTATAATACACTTTGTTTTGCTTACACACTATTGAGGAAACACCTTCCTAGATGTCATCTCTGCTACTAAATTAACATCACTGATTTCAATGACAATTAAATAGATGTGTGATTGGCTGGAAGAAGGGTAGACTTGATGATTGGTTCTCAGGTTCTTGCTTGGCTATCTATGATTGAATACTTTGGTTCCCAGAATGAGAGTGAAATAACACTGTAAATTCAAAGCAAGTCTGAACTTTTTGAATTGATCTGAGAGTATTCTGAAAAAATCTTTTAAAGACATCAGATAAGTAACAGGGTGGGGCTTCTCTTTATCTGTAGAATCTTGTTATGAAAACATACACTTTTCAGTTGTGAGTCAGGGCAGTTAATGAAAATTAAGGTTATTCAGCTACAACTTGTGGAGAAAATTGGGTTGTTTAAATAGGAAGAGTGGCTCACAAACTATTTGCCTTGCTCAAAATTAGTCAATGATAATCAGAGATTTTGCCCTGAGCAAAGGGTTATATCCTACGGATAATTTCGTAGTCTGTGAATTATTGTGCAAATTTGTATTGGCCACCAATTAGATCAACTCCAGGATTTGGGTCCTTTGTACCACAGCAAGTATGAAGATTACAAGGCACCTTCATGCTCAAAATTATTTCCAACTCTGACCTGAAAACACACCACCTTTTTTTTTTTCTAGTTGGAAATGTGTTCCATAAAATCATTTGTCTGGCTGTCCAGAAGGCGAGGCTAATGCATGAGTAAACCAGTTAGACTCATGAATGGACATAACTATTAACTTGCTTCACCCAGTTCCACTTCAGAAAGAAGAGCGTATTGTGGGGAGGCTGGACTGTAAAGCAGGGCTGTGCAAGGACCACGTGCTGTTATTTTATGGAACATCTTCACATGTGATCTGGCAAGACTCTGAGGTCCATTTCCAGAGTAGAGTAGTGGGATAACAAGAAACTGGACAACAACATTACTTTGAAAACTGGATACCCAATTATCATACTTTCCTTTCCAAACTTTTATGTCTCTGTCTTTTAAATTGTGAACAATTTCATTCTCAAGAAACTTACCTGATTGTAGTGTAACTGATTCTGGAATGGGCTTCCCCAATTAAAGGCTTGAAGTCTCCCAGCTCTAGCAACCTAAAGAAAATGTATATGTAAAAGTTAAGTTAAAAATTAGTTACAAGTAATTGAAATTAATTGGATAAAACTCATAAACCACCTGAAAACAATTCAGCCTCCAAATACCTCATTTTCATTTTTTTTAAAATTAGTGAGAAAATATTTTCTCATTCCAAATAATTACTAACCATCTAGGATATGTGGGTTCAATATATAACATATGTGAGTGCAAATGCAGCTTTGTTCCAACTTCTTTTTTGCATGGCAAATCATAAACATAATTATTTCTTT